AACTTGAACTTCAAACATTACTAAATAGCTCGTGAGCTTAGTCATAAAAGCAAGGGTTTATCCATTAACAAAATAAAACAGTAGTTTTCACTGTGATCTGTATTTCCCTGAATTTCAGAAATTTTACATCTGGGGTGTGTTCTGAGTCTGTCTCTAGTTATAAAAGGTCCCTTGAATATGAGTTGTTCCTTCCTCTAGTTTATGGGCAATGTTATTTTTAATAAACTGGAAAAGTGCTTCATTTTATTAACTTTTTGAAAAATCACAGTGGTAGTGAACCTACATCTTACAGTTTTCATGAAGTTAGCCCTCAGGATGATTTTTGTTTACTCCAGGTTGAGGCTCTGATTTCTTTACACCCAGTTCTTTCTTTCGTTTAAACTTCAGCGCTTCACATACCAAATATAAAAGTTGCATTTCATTTGATCTTTGTCTCCTCCTTTCCCACTTCTCTACTTATCTGCTTGGAAAATGTTTTCTTCACTTGACAAAACAAGTACAATTCCTTCAGCTTCAAGAGGGACCAGACTGCATCTGTCTGCTAAGGCAAAAAATGTATTTAACAAGTACAGCTAGAACCCAGATAACTCAAATTAGTTACCCAGACAATCATTCCACTTGATCAATGATTCTCCACTCTGGTGGCCTCTCGTTTGCATCTGTGAAGACAGTCCAATTATATTCTTGAAGCAGTTCAGGATTTTAGCCCACATTTATTTTTTTTTTAATGAAATTTCCTGGTAAATGTGCATTAAACACTAGCTAGATATCCCTTTCAATTTTTTTCCCCACTAATTTTCCTTTTATTTTGGGACCAATTTCACCTTATTTTCCAAATCCACTGAATATGTGGCAAGGCATAGGTTGCAGTAATGTAACCACAGTCCTAAACAAGAAAGAAAATTCATTCCTTATGTTGTGTTCAACTCTAAACAGATGCAATCACCATATACTTTTATCTTGATTTGTGCATATATAATCTTTCTGCATACCTTCTAGATGACTGGGTTTCTGTTAGTCACTACTCTTCAGGGAAGTTGAGTAAGATGTAAGTGTACATATGGATGTTCATTTTTTCATAGAGTTTATACAGGTGCTATCACTTAAGCTCTGCATGCCTCCAATTCTAAAGTCTAACTGTAAAAAAAGCCTGATTAATGCAGGTTGAACTTCATGGCATAAAACCTAGTCAGTCACCCTTTCTACCTGTCAGTCCTACGGGTGCATAGTCTGTAGAAATATCTGCTGCATGGTCAGTGCCGTGCCATGCAAAGCAAAGCTGCATGACAGGTCCCAGCCATTCACTGCGCTATTTAGCACCCATGCCCAACAAAAGCGTGTTTCCAATATAAATGATGTATTATGATATTTTGCCAACCAGCAAAAAATTGAAACCTCAAATTTTAGCACATTTCTTACAGGAGGTTTGCGCAATCTGACCCTAGATCACTTTAATCTAACAGTTTAATTCATTCTTCATAGTATTTTATAAATTATAGCAGAGGTTGGCTTTCAAGGATGATGTACCAGTTCAGAATTTTATTTCTCAAATTACAGATTAAGCCCCACAGTAGAAACTGATTGAGAGCCAAGACACATTAAATCTCAAAAAGAAATGTTAATGATCAGGTGGCTGTTGATATCTTGTCTCTGTGGCAACAGGAGCTCAGAGCTCCTGATGATTCAGGAACTCAAAGGGAGCCAGGAGCTGGATATTGGTGCTTCTCACAACCCCACCAAGATGCTGTAGCTTCAAGCCCTGTGGCATTCAAAACCTGACAGAGATAAATGGTGGCTTAATACTTTTATACTGTATTACAGCAGTACCCCCAGTAGTGTAGAAAGCCTTATTCACTTTTTTATTATGGAAAGAATACTCAACTATGTTTATATCTTCTTTTGTATGATTTCTCATGTATATAAGAATAATGGCAGTAGCAATTGATATAACTGTGATTAATTTTGCTAGTTCTTTGCTGGAATGAATAAGCTGCAGAATTCCATGTTTCTGTAAAAGTAAGTGTAAGGTTTGTTAAAATATAAAAAATCAACCAAAGCAAGATTACACACTAATTCCACTTATAACAGAAAGTTTATGACAGACATCAACTATAAAGGCTTTAAACTTGATAGGAATATAAGTATTATCCTTATCAAAAGTACTAGCTAGCATGTTTCTCTTGGTCTTTTTTGGGTTTTGAGAAGTTTAAAGCATATTTTGCTTACTACTTAAAGCATATTTTGCTTACTACTTAAAGCACTGAAGTGGCTTTTTTTTATGTTTTTTTGTTTGCCAGTCATAGGGAGACAAATATATTCTCAAGATATCTGAGACAAATAAAATCATACCTACTCCTTTTTGTCTTCTGTCTCCTAACTCCCAGTCTTCTAGAAGACTCAAGTCACTCTCAGCCTTACTGGTATCTCAATTCAAGCTTTTTGGTTAACTTTACAGCTCCATGAGGTTCAGTTTTTTTCTGACTTTGCCCTGATTTTCATCTTACCTTCCTATATGCCCTCTTTTGGTTGCTCTTGACTTAGAGAAAACACAATTACCTTCAGGAGAAGTAAGGTAGTCAAGGAATTTCCATGCAGATTAGAAGCTTATCCAAAAAGTCCTAATTTACTTTTTAAATTGTTTAAGGTATTTTTAGATAATAAAGAACAGAGCTGGACAAAAAGGATACATATTACTATCTTCGTTTTATTTATTTCTGAAGAATTTAGTTCTGTAGCCCCATCATAGAAGGCCACCAAATTGGTCAGGCAGGATTTCCCCTTAGTGAAGCCATGCTGGCTGTCATCAAGCACCTTGTTGTTTTCCGTGTGCCTTAGCATGCCTTCCAGGAGAATCTGCTCCAAGATTTTGCCAGGCACAGAGGTGAGACTGACTGGTCTGTAGTTCCCTGGGTCATCCATTTTCCCTTCTTGAAAATGGGGGTTATATTTCCCTTTTTCCAGTCGTCAGGAACTTCACCTGACTGCCATGATTTCTCAAATATGATGGACAGTGCCTTAGCAACTTCATTCTCCAGCTATTCTTTTTATTCTTTTGCACTTTCAAGTGCACAGTTCTTGTTATCTGTTTAGAGTTTAAATGCCATACTTATAGGCTCTTTGAGGGATAATTTTATATTAAGGAATTCTGTAAGTTGTCATCAGTCAAAACTTTAAGAGAGTAAAGGGTTGCAGACCAAGATGAGAGTAAACTATCATAGCCCAATTCCCAGTGATGCTAACTTCTGAAAAAGAGAGGCCAAAATATGAGGGAATTCATTAAATCAATTAAAAGGATACAAAAATTAAGTCAATTAAAATATGCAGAAACTTTGCATATACTCTTATCTTCCGTTCCTTTCCCTGTGCAAAGATTTTTTTTTACCCTAATAGTGATCCACTCCTCCTTAATCTTCCTCAAGATTACACTTCAGGAAAAGTTTTTTAACATTACACAGAGAGTCCATAGCAGAGTTTGGAGCAGTAATCTGATATCCTACCACCTAGGTTACAGTGAAAAGCTACTAGATCATGCAATTGAGAACCATAGAATCAGAGAATAGTTAGGGTTGGAAAGAACCTTAAAATCATCTAGTTCCAACCCCCACTGGTATTGTTTCATTATGTGTCTTCTCAGTGACAGAGCTGTGTAAAATATTGAACATTAATTCATTTGCTGAGAAAAGGAAAGGGTTTTTCAGTTGTTTTTTTTTCTGGGAAGAGTTTCATTTTTTGGATAGCTGCACTTATAATAGCAGCCCAGGTTTTTCAGAGAGACATTTTCAATAATTAAACATTATAGTTAAATTAGAGCACTTTATTTAGTAGCCAGTCTTTACTTAATGTTTTTAATGACAGATACTGCATTTCCAAGAAACTTTTCCCACATTACAAAGATTATTTTATTATTAGCTTTGAATTTGATTTGCACAATTAAAAGTGGTAAAAAAGTCTGCCTTTGGATCTGAAGAGGAAACATAAATGTGACTGTATGCAATGAGAAGTATGTGACAATCCGTTTCAGTGGCTATAAACCTTAAATGTTGAAGCAATAGAGAATTTTTTTAGCAATTTTTTTTGCAGTAAAATTCCTTTCACTGCAAAAGCTTGCTCAGAATAAGACTATAATTTTCCATCATTAAATTTATTGAATTTGTATTTTCTTTTACCTGTAATAGTGCAACTACAGTAATGTCGAGATTTTGAAAAAGGGGATAGTTTGGTTATTAAAATTATTTATAAAATAGCCCAGTTATCAGTATTTTTATTATTTATGATTTTCACAATGAAATCTGCTAAGCCTGCATTTGCTATCAAACTGGTTTTATGATGCAACTAAAAAGCTTAATATTTTGGCAACATGGGAGATAACTGAGTCTACATCAATGAGTGTAACAAGTATACATTATAAGAGAGATATATCCCTCATCAAGGCAATGTCATTTTTATAGCAATGACTTTTCTTAGACTTCAACAAAAAACAACACACAGTTACAGCCTTTTTAAGAAACAATTTAGAAAAGGGCAGTTTGGCCAGCTCAATAGGTGATATTTACAAAGAGAAGCATAGTTTATAAGAGTTAATCATTTGGATGTGGAAGATAGCTCATGCCCCCTTCTCTCAGCATTCAGTTCCAACATTTGAATTTAAAAGGGTGGAAGTTAAGGGCAGGGACATATAAATTCAAAGGGGAATATTTTCACAATAACTGGTTTTAAAATAAAACTTTTTAGAAAGAGCACTGTGCCTGTAGAAAATTGGACTGTTGTTCCCAGGCTTATAGTTTCACTTTTATGTTAGCTGTCTATACAAAAAGAACTTGGAAGAAAGAATCAAAACCATGAAATCACTACTGGTAAGTCCTTTTTTTTAGACTAACGCACTCTTTCAGTGCTAGGCAGTGAAGATAAACTTGTCTCTGATACTGTTTTTATTACAGGTTTGGATTAAAGATTTATTTTCAATGACTTTTCAAAACTAACAGGCTCCTTACTGTTCACAGTTTATCGGGATGCCCCAGAGCTACTTCAGCAATGAAGAAAGCAAAGCTGTCTGGTGAACAAATGCTAACAATAAAGCAGCGGGCCAGTAATGGTAAATTTTTAATCATTACCTTTATTTAATCATTACTGCTTCTTTGTAAACTAAAGTTGTCTTTATTCTATTGGTTCTTTTTCCTACATGTGTAAATCTTCTTTGTATAAATAATGAATTTGCTTCCAGTAGAAGTAGGCTGTGGATATCTGAGCCAGCAGAGGAATGGTCAGGCTGGTCTGTTACATCTACATAAATCTAAAACACTAAAATATTTCCAATTATAACATACTGTTACAATTTTCTGATTCACATCTCATTCATTAAAGGTAGATAATTGGTGTTAATTGTTGCAGGATTCAGAAGAGAAAGAGGTTTCATTTCCAGAGTGTCAGGTCCCCGTGAGGTCCCCTTAATTCATTTGAAGCTCTTACTCTGTAACGTCTGATCTTGTGCCATTACATTTCCAATAGTCTGCAATCCTTTCTGGGAACCCTGAGTTGCAAGGAAGCTGATAAAAGTATCTTGGATAAAAATCCAAATCTAATAGTCAAACTGCAATAGAAGCAAAATGTAGATACTTCATTTCAAATAAATAATGCACAAAAGACTTGTCTGAGAGGTGCCTAAATCCTGAGTTTTCTTGGAAAACTTGATGCAGTCACTTAGTCTGTGACTGTGCATTGTCTTCTTAATTTCTGGTGTTGACTTTGAGAACCACAAAGCATTTCAACACAGGTGTTTCAGCCCACACTGCTAGCATGGCTGAGGGAAGCATTGACTGTCTTCAGTAGCTGGTAACCAGGGAGTGGAAAGTTTGGGTGTAATTTTCTCTGCAGCCTGGGAAGTATTGGAAACTGTATCTGCTATGCCCAGGAAGAATGCTTTAAGGAGTGGTACATGTAAATTTCAGGTACCTAGAGGGATACAGGGCATCCTTCCTATTAGAGTTAGGGACTGTAGGAAAAGGAAGGCAAGATTCACGCTAGAGTAAGAATAAGAGAGTGGGAACACCAATTTCTCTAGCTTTAGGGGTTCAGACTTTGACTTGGGAGAAAACAGGTCTATCTATCTCTTCCCAGGACTTTTTATTTTATGCTTTGTTATAGTAATTTAAAGGATAAATAAATAAAACCTTTACAGTTTATTCCTGCCTGAGTCCTTAAAAATGCAGGTACCTTTAAAATTCTGTTCTCTAAATGTCTGTTCCATAAAACCCCAGATATCACTTCAGTTTTTCAAATTATTCTCTAGATCATTATTTAATAATAACCTTCTGAACCATGAACTTACTAAAAACAAAAGGAGAATCACAATATACCCCAGCACCTCAACAAAATTTCACTGTGCTGGAAAAAAAAAAGTCTTCTGAAATAGTTACAAATTATTTTAATGACACTGTAATATTAAGAGACTAGCATGTCAAGATATTTTCTTTTCCTTAAGAAGATCTGTCTGTGGACACAGTCTTTCAAATAAGTTACATATGACAGTGGAGCAGAAGTTATTGCTACAGGTACATTTCTCATGATACGAAGTTAAATCAGTACATAGAAAGAAAAAAGTGTCTCTTATTGATCCGGTAAGCATTTTCAACACTCTCACTGGAAAATTAAGGCAATTTTTAAAAGAAAAGTAGTGGAAAATAAATTGGTTTAACTTCAAAATAAAAGTTTGAAGAACACTTCCTTTTCCTTTTTCCTTTAATACTTTTACTTAAAACAAAATTGTTGTCAAATATGGAAATAATTAATTCACTGAATTATGATCTGAAGCTCAATTATTTTAACACCCCTTTTATTTTTATATCACACAGGTATAGAAAACGATGAAGAAATTAAACAATTAGATGAAGAAATCAAAGAACTAAATGAATCCAACTCCCAGATGGAAGCTGATATGATTAAACTCAGAACTCAGGTAACAGTTTTATGAAGCCCTAAATTCACCTGCTTTTTCTACGTGATTGATTAAAAGAAATATAGGAAATATATTGTTCCTTTTTATGTTTCTTACATATTAAGATTTCTATCTGTGATTTGCCATTTATAAAGTGAGAAAACAATATCCATTTTTCAATTTCCACACCAGTTACAAGCATCGTGGTCAGCTTTGCATTTCCCCTTGATAAGGTTGTACCTTTCTAATAGCAGTTAAAATATGATATCATGGACATTAACATAAGCTACCAGATGAAGGAGTCCAGATGAACAACCTGACTTTTCCCACTTCTGTCTTACAGAGAAAATTTATGTAGGGAAGTGAATATCTGTTACATTTCACTTCATCATGTGCTATGCTATGCAGCCCTTGGTGACAGCAGTGGTTCCACACAGATCCAGTTTAATTCCTTTTAGTTTCCAAATAAAGGAAAGGTAAACCTAACAACAGACTATTATTTAAAACCTCATTATACAGCAGTCCTAAAACTGGATGGAAAAAACAAAGGAAGGACATGAATTTCATTCTTTCCCTGGCATTTTCCAGTGTCCAGCATAGCTTCTGGTGCTTTTTTTTTTCACATGATTTGAGAATAGACACCAACAGGGAGACTGATCACAGTTCTTGCCATTTATCAACCTTTAGTCCCATGGTCATAATCATCCAATTGATCTTGATGGAAAAAGGGTAAACCATTCTTTGCTGCTTGTGGAGAAGAGTGCCATGTCTGTTGTCCTCTTCTCTTGTATACTCATAAACAGAAGGCAGGATCAGCCTCTTCAGCTTGTTTTTTCTTTACTTCTTAACCTTAGCCAAATTGATACTGAAACCTCACTTCTATGTTATGCCTGTATTCAGGGTTCTTTTGTCATTATTCAACCTTTATAGGATTTGACTTACATTTTAGATATTTTTCTGGTGTGACCACATATAACTGTAGGGTAATAAGGACAAACTCTACACGAATGTAAAGCAAGAAGAATAATCAGTGGCAGGAAAATTACATTTATTTACATTGGAAGAATTTGGTTCTAAGTTTCAAATCTGGCAGGTTCAATCTGTCATGGTTTAAGCCCAGCTGGCAACCCAGAACCACACTCCTCTCTCTTCCTCCCCCCACTCCCGGAGGGATGGGGAGGAGAATCAAAAGAATGTAACTTCCATGGATTGAGATAAGAACAGCCCAGTAACTAAGGTATAACACAAACCACTGCTGCTACCACCAATAATAATAATGATAAGGGAAATAACAAGGGAAGAGAATCTAACTGCTCACCACCTGCCGACCGATACCCAGCCCGACCTGAGCAGTGATCTAGCCCTTCCGAGTAACTGCCTACAGTTTATATATTGGGCATGACGTGCTGTGGTATGGAATACCTCTTTGGTCAGTTTGGGTCAGGTGTCCTGTCTCTGCTTCCTCCTGGCTTCCCCTCCTCCCTGGCAGAGCATGAAACTCAAAAAGTCCTTGGTCAGAGTAAACATGACTTAGCAACAACTAGAAACATCGGTGTTATCAGTGTTGTTCCCAGGCTGAAAGTCAAAAACACAGCACTGCACCAGCTACTAAAAAGGAGAAAAATGACTGCTACTGCTGAACCCAGGACACAATCTGCCTCATGTTTTCTTTTTCTTAATACAACACTGTAGGTGTTTTTTCACATACAGACTGATTTAGCTGAGGTTTTAAAAAATGTAAAGCAGTGTGGCTGTTATGTGTGCATTAGATAAATGCTCCAGTAGTTAATAAATATCCTCATTTTTAATTTTTGTTTTGGCTAGATGAATTTTAAAAAAAGTATAAATAAAGTCACAATAACACTATCACAGGCATAAAATATGTATTTTATGAGTTCCCAAGATTTAGTTAGGAATGTCACATCAAGTTTTGATGTGTAATGAGTACAGAAGCCATACTTCAGTGTCTCAGTTCTAGCTGGGATCTACACGACCTGAGATCACAGCATATTTATGGTAAAAAAAGCCTCAGCTGATTATTTTGCGATCAAGTAGAAAGGATGCTTTTCACACCTTGGTGCAGCAGTTTTAGAAAAAGGGTAGAATGACTGGCAGTGACACATCCTGTCATTAAGATAATTAATAGGAATCTAGAAAATAGCACTACAAGAGACCTCGACATGTTATTTTGTCCATCAGTCTCCCTTTCCTACTTCCCAGCTCTTCCTAAGCCACTCCTGACAAGTGCTTGTCTAACCTGTTTCTTACTTACTTCACCAGAGATTCCACAGTTCCTGGGCAGTCAGGTCTAATACCTATTCTTACCTAACTAGCTACTGACGCCTAGCAGAAAATCCTACCTGAGTCAAACTTAACAGGAGCTCAGAGGCCTCAGATTTGAATTCATACACACTCCTGAAGATAAGCAATTTACATTTCCAGCATGTAGAGAGTTACAGCATAGTCATTATCAATCTATTGAGAGGATCAAAGTCAACAGTCCACTATATTTACAACAGTAGAATTATATTGAACAAAACAAAATGTTTGCTGATAAACCTTTAGAAAATCTTTGTGCAACCTAGATTTCATTAAGACTTCACAGACAAGGAGTACACAATGGGAAGATAGTAGTTCTGTGAACACCAGAAGTAGCAACAGTCTTGCTTCATACGGATTTGCGTCCCGTATGATTCTAAGTGCCAGCAAAAGTTTTTCCTACAATAGGAACTTCCCCTCTATGTAGAATCTTTTATGTTTAAGTCATGCTGCAGTCTTTTCCTTAGTGGAAGCATTCATAATACTCTCGTTTATTCAGCTGCCTTTTACCTTAAGAAAGTATTTTTCATCTAAGACTTTAGTAAATTTGTTCAAAAGTATGGGAGGGGCAGAAACACATAAAGGTTAGCAGGAGAAAGAAGAATCTGCAGATAACTGTGTGTCTCATGCAAGCAACAGGTTATCCTGTTTTCAGAAGAGATACAAGTGAACATTCATTAGTTTCAGGGTAAAACGTTGGGAGGGAAATTTCAGCCTTTAAGCAAGTGAACACAATAATTAAGTGTGCCAGTTACCTTAATGTACTTACAGATGAGTACTAAATGCAACTGTGAGAAACACTGGTCAGCTGCCACAGTATTTGCATATAGGTAGCATCTCACTTGAAAAAACAACAAACAACCGAGTATAAAAGATCTATTCAAGTAGCAGCAGTCAGCTACCTCAAAAATCTACAGAATGTCAGCTCCTACTCATGGTAGTGAGGCAGCAGCACTATATGCCATGCTGAACTGGGCCTTCATCAACATCAGACTCTTCACTTGGGACTGTAATATAATAAACAGTTTTTTAGGGTAAAAATTAGAGCATGACTGCCTCTAACAAGTACCTGTGAAAGATGTTTTGCATTCGCATGCAGCATTTGTCTCCAACATAAAAAAGCTGAGAGCAAAACAAGAGAGGACGATGTGTTTCCAGTTTCAAAGCTGAAGTATTTTGCCTGCTAATATATGTTGTGGAAATACCTCAGAATCAATTAATTTTGACAAAACCAAGCCCCTGCAATACTTAACAGCTTGGATTAACTGCAATACAAACACTTGTAGTTAAAGTAAGAGATACTTGAAGATCTTTTCATGTAGCCACATCACTTGTCAAAGTTACTCCTATCAAATGGGCTGTATTTCCATAAGCAACTGGAACTTTCATTTAACCAGAATAAAACTTAAGAGATCTAAGTACCTGATTTTGCCAACAGTTTCCTAAAAATCTACTCATCCATGGTCAAGTTAATATTCACTTAAGAACCTTTTCTCCTTCTGCCTGCTACTACCACACAAACCTGCAGCCTTCCCATCAGCATTTAAATTGTATCAATTCTTCCCAGAGTTGCCAGTGCAGAAATGGATAAAACTCATTTTGAGAATTCAGAAACTTGTGTTCTTTGGCATTTTTTCCCCTTCTCTGATATTTTCTTTTTTGCCCTGTCATCAATGTATACTTCAGCCTACACGCATAAAAGCACACTGTACACTTCTTTTTAGAGGTTAATGTTTGTCATCCACTGTGGAAAGAAAGCACAGGTCTACAGAGGAAAGCATAGACACGAGTAAGCTCTGCATGTCCTCTTGACAAGCCAATGGTCATCTGAAGTCATTATAGCTTCATTAGCACAGTGCTCTGCACAAGCTGGGGTAAATTGCCTCTCAGCAATGATTTTTAGCTCATGAAGGTCATCATGCAAGGTCAGAGCTAACTTGAGTCTGGTCATATGGGAACACCGGCAGAGCATACAGGCAGAGCATACTCTCATCTGTCTTCACCCATACGTGTAGTTGTGCCCGAGAGACCCACCTTCCTGGCTGTTGTGCAGATTTTCTTCAGTTCCTTCAGTTTTTCAACTCATTGCATGTATTAGGAAACTTTCTGAATTTGTACGTACATTGCAATAACATGCAACTGTTCAGCTTTCAAAAGCAGCCCTGTGAACTTGCATAGATTCAAATTATACTTAAAAGAGCTAAACACTGGCAGCAAGGAGCTGTGCATGCTTAACTAACTTTATACACGTATACAGATATATATATATATATGTCAATCAGAAAATATAAGAAATGCATGACTTACTGCAGAATGTGCGTAAGGTAGGGTCCTAGGAGTAGAAGTGTTTAACCAAATGGGTGAACTTGCAGAACTAAGGTCTTTCTTAATGTCTTTCAACTCAAGAAGAAAAGTTCTAAAGCAGTGGAATCGAATCCAAGTTCATTCATTATTACCAATATTAAAAAGACAAGCTGTTAAATTCATACAACACGCAGTAAGAATAAGAAGCCCTTAACAATGATAAGAATTGCAGACTCTAGCAAAATCTTTTTTATCGTGAATGAATAGTCCTTTTTCTCCTTTCCCTGGTATTTCTGTTATCTCTTCCTTCAAAAAGCACATGCTTTATGACAGTTTGCCTTATATTACATTGTGCACAAATTTGTCCATTTTAGATTACCACAATGGAGAGCAACCTGAAGACGATAGAAGAGGAGAACAAAGTAATTGAACAGCAAAATGAGTCTCTTCTTCATGAACTGGCCAATTTAAGCCAGTCTTTAATTCATAGTCTAGCTAATATCCAGCTGCCACATATGGTAAGTGATTGAGAGCACAAGTTAAGGAATTTGGCGATCCTCAGTTCACTTCATACAATAGATGTCTTTTTTTATGTTTATGTTTCATCAACCAGTTGGATATTTGTGGTAACAACACTGAAACCATAAAGATACATTTAACTGCTAACAAAGACATGGAGGGCCTGTTCCAGTGTATCCTGTAAAATTAAGTAAGAACCAAATAGGCATTTTAAATATTACTAAAAAATGGTGGCAATTTGCCTTGATAATATGTTATGCTTAAATGAATTTACACTTAAGAAAATAAAAGTTGTATATGAACTACTATTTAATATCTCGTAGGAACCAATCAATGAACAAAATTTTGATGCTTACGTGACCACTTTGACGGACATGTATACAAATCAAGATCGTTATCAGAGTCCAGAAAATAAAGCCCTACTGGAAAATATAAAGCAGGCTGTGAGAGGAATTCAGGTCTGAACAGCTGCTATAGTGGTGAAAGTCTTGCTTAAAAAAAGGATGCCTCTTGTTTTTTGCTGCTGTAATTTACCAGAAAGTGTTATATATTTATTTCTGTTTGAAACAGTGTTATGCTTACAAGACTTCATAATGATTTTATGTCTTGCTTTAAAGATAGTAACTGCAGAATAGTTTTTTGAATACATTCACATTTTGTACGTTTTCATATAAGCTGACATAGTGTGATACGCCATGTAATGTTTATAGCTGCTAATGTATGCACATTTTTGGGGTATATATATTTCTGAAGAGGTAAGCTGATCAAAATAAATAGAGTGTAAATTCTTTTTAATGCTTTAGTGATTAAATGTTTTAGTATTTTGAACTGAAATGGACAAAAAAAAACCAGCTTTGAATGACAATGTTGCGGTCTGCAGCCACTTTTTAAACACTATCATTTTGCCTCATGTTGGAGGATTTTATGGGATTTAAGAAATACATTTTGTGTGCATATTGTTTCATAGCAAGAATTGGTTGCAAAAATGCTTTATTTTTGAACAATGCTTGAAAATATTATGTGACTTTTGGTTTGAAGGATGGTGTGTGGTGGGGGCAATAAAATAAGGTTTTTTGAATTCCAAGAAAATGGCATGGATTAGATGTAAGATACAAAATGGGTAATTTATTGTAAGACAACATCAAGCCATGGAAACTTGACAGAAGATTCAAAGCAGCTTAAACAGCACTTTTTAATTAACTTCTAAGCATTACATGGTATGAATATGGGAACATCCATTATGAAAAGAACTATATCAGAGGTGGACAACGTGAAGATTTCAGCTTTTGTTTTCAAATAAACTTTGGAGCCAACATTCCCTTATCTCTACTGGACTGCTAGTGCCCCTCTGAACTATCTGTTATAGCAATGTAGTTCATCTTTCAGAAATTCTGTGTTTTCAATTCAAGATGGAGGACAATATTTTAAAATTAATATTGCCTTTTCACATCTTTAATTTTGGGATAAACACAAATGATCTGTGTCTCTTAAGAGTTACTGAACTGCATTCGTTGCTGTCTATAGTAGGAATGCAGTTCAGTAAAGATCTTTCTTTTTGCTTTGTCAAGCATTTGATCCCGTTTTTAACATTTTAACATTTATGTTTTGCTTTTTGTTGAACAATCATTACTGCAGCATTCACATATGCTTTGTATTTGTTCTACTATTACCTATTGCAAAAATGAATGCAATCAAATTTTTAATGTAACTAAATATACTTCAGCACTTTTTTTGCTTTAAACTGGATCATTTTAAGATAAAACTTATTTGTACCTTCAAGATTTGATTGTTTTCTTCAAAATGACTGCACTATATGTATGCATAAGACCACTTTTTATTACTACATTTTTTCTTTTTAAGTAGTAAATTTGGTGATGTGTTGTGTTTTACAGTTGTTGAATTTATTTAAATTTGATAGCATATCTTTTCCTTCCATGTCTTGATGTTATGCAGAAAGTACAAAAGTACTTTAAAATTTTGTTATGAAAAAGATGGGTTTTGTAAAAAATAAAATATTTTTAGCAGAACAGGACTTACAGGGTCATTGTCCCCACAATGTGCCAGTTGACTATTTGCACTTACCTTGCCCTATATATCCATACGGAGGTGTGCAATTTCTTGTGTCATTAGCCTTGTGACACTAAACCTGAACAAATTATAGTGGAAGCCATTATGGCCAATCCAGTAATATTGCTAAGGGAGACTACAGGGATCTCACAACAAATATTCTGATACAATACTCAACCTCGGTATATATATATATGTATAAATATATGTATATCCCAGCGGCACTTTATACTATTCACTGTACAAAAGCTTACAGTTTTCCACGAGGACTTTAATAACTAGCTGGGAAAAGATTATGTAATTACTTTGGGGCTCTGCAGTATCTTATCTGTACAGTGCCCTTTTTCTGTTGTGCTATTAGTTGTAGCTGCCATGCTCAGAATTGCCTTTTTGAGAGCTGAAGCAAGGTGCTTGTCGTTCACCTTCTGCCATATATATTGTACTTTTGCCCTAGCCTCCTTTTAGGGCTTTCATTGTTCATAATGGCATATGCATTTTTCCACTGCATTGTGTCTGCAGCTTCTTTGCCAATATAGTAATGCTTTCAGTAGAGTAATAGATAGTATCAGTTTTGGATTCTTATTGTTATCACCTATGTACAATGGAAAGGGATTTTAAGCACAAATCTGCTGCTCATCTAATGTTGGTACATAATATCAAATCAAAAGTTATCTGTGACTATTATATAGGGATCACAAAAGTGTCACATATTAGAATGCTGACCTTTCATATGAAATTATTGTGAGTCATCAGAGTTTATTTATTATAACTTATTGTTCATATTCATTTCTAAGTTAATTTAAGTAATCATTTATTAAGACAGAATTTTGTATAAACTATTTATTGTGCTCTCTGTGGAACTGAAGTTTGATTTATTTTTGTACTACACGGCATGGATTTGTTGACATTTTAATTTTGCTATAAATGTGTGGAATCACAAGTTGCTGTGATAATTCATTTTTAAATTGTGAACTTTGTACAAATTTTGTCATGCTGGATGTTAACACATCTTACTCTAAATAAATAAAAAAATGTGTTGCCACATTTGTAGCACAGTGGTTCTATGATCACCTTCAACATTTTCACTTTATCTCATGCACTCCATTACAACAATTCAGAGACCTTTTTTAACAAGAAGCCTAAGCTGTTGGTTCCTTGAATTCTCCCCACAGGATGTATGGCTGCCTTTCAAACTACGCACTTTCCACTCTACACAAATGCTTAAGCACAAGAAGTTTGTTCCAACATCTCAGAACTTCCTAGAAAGAAATGTGCCTGAATAGTGTAACTGAAGAATGGTGTGCAATACATTTAAAATTAAATAAATTGATAATTGGGTTCCTAGACTCAAAACCAGAAAATGAACCTCAGTTAGAAACCTTCTCCCTTTCCTATAGCCTGCACTAAGGCCTCAAGGCATTTAAGAACCAGTCAGATGAAGAAACAAATTACAACAGTCAGTTAACACTTCTGGTCTCCACTGCCTGTGACAGGAACATCAGCACATGCTGTCACATGCAATACTGACCCTGATCTGCACCACACCATAACCCATGTTACCCCTGCAATGACTTAATAACTGGTTTAGCCTTCATTATCACTGTTAAATCACATCTAATTAAAAACATCTTCCTGGAAAACAAATACTGGGAATTGGCAATTAATTGATTTATAAGCATAATTATGGCTTTACCATATGCTTGGGTTCCTGTATTGAGTATATATTATGTTCAGCATTATGCAGTCGTATCAGTAATTTATTCTGTGCATTACCTCTGCTGGCCATTCTTCCTCACTGCATTTCTTAGAAATCGTCCTAAATGACCAAGACATAAGAGGCCACACAAATTCTACACTCTCTGCCCCTAGCAAAGGCTAGTCGACTCCTGGGGGAATTGGGAAGATACAGAGGGTCCATGACAATTTGCACAACAGAATGCAAAACAGACAGGCAGGTGAAGCAGTGCAGTCAGCTAAGGGCATCCCAGCAAGAAAGAGTAATATGTTTATGACCGTGTGTAAACACAGGGTGATATATATATATAATCATAGAATGGTTAGGGCTGGAGATGACCTTAAAATAACCTAGTTCCTTCTCCCCTGCAATCATCTAGTTCCTTCCCTACTGCCTTGGGCAGGGACATCTCACACTAGACCACGTAGCCAAAGGCTCTGTCCAACCTGGCCCTGAAAACTGCCAGAGATGGAGCAGCCACAACTTCCTTGGGCAACCCATTCCAGTGCCTCACCACCCTCACAGTAAAGAAGTTCTTCTTCTAACATGAACTTCCCCTGTTTAAGTTTAAACACCTTGTCTTATTGCTACAGTCCTTGATGAAAAGTCCCCTCTGGCATCCCTATAGCCCCCCTTCAGATACTGGAAGGCTGCTATGAGTTCTCCACACAGCCTTCTCTTCTCCAGGCTGAACAACCCCATTTCTCAGCCTGTCTTCATACAGGAGGTGCTCCAGTCCCCTGATCACCCTTGTGGCCCTTCTCTGGACTTGTTCCAACAGTTCCATGTCCTTTGTATGTTGAGGACACCAGAACTGAACACTCTACTCCAAATGGGTTCTCATGAGAGCAGAGTAGAGGGGCAGGATCACCTCCTTTGACCTGCTGGTCATGCTCCTTTTGACACGGCCCAGGATATGGTTGGCCCTGACCAAGGCGTAGGACCTTGCACTTCTCCTTGTTGAACTTCCTGAGGTTGGCATCAGCCCACCTCACAAGCATGTCTAGGTCCCTCTGGATGGCATTCCTTCCCTCCAGGGTATCAACTGAACCACACACCTCGGTGTCATCGGCAAACTTGCTGAGGGCACACTCAGTCCCACTGTCCATGTCAGCGACGAAGGTGTTGAACAAGACCAGTCACAACACTGACCCTTGAGGGACACCCTTGTTACCAGTCTCCAGCCAGACACTGAGCTGTTGAGCACAACTCTTTGCGTGCGGCCATCTAGCCAGTTCTTTATCCACCGAGTGGTCCATCCATCAAATTGATGTCTCTCCAGTTTAGAGGCAAGGATGTCATGCGGGACAGTGTCAAACACTTTGCACAAGTCCAGGTAGATGATGCCAACCGCTCTGCCCCTGTCCATTAGCTCTGTAGCCTCATCACAGAAGGCCACCGAATGGGTCAGGGATGATTTGCCCTTAGTGAAACCATGTTGGCTGTCACCAACCACCTCATTATTTTTAGATGATAAGACAGGTAACGTTTCAGGAAATTTCATCTCCCTTTTGAGGATCACATGTAAAATTTTGTGCTTTTGTTTTATTTTACCTATTTATTAGTAAAATTCTGGATTTTTCTTGCTCAGATGTTTTCAGTCATAGTGTCCTTCAGTAGCTCTCATAAGAAAGTCAACAATACATTTTTGCACTACATATATGTAAAGAATTGATAATGTTATTTCTGATATTAGTTCCCAGTACCAGAATTTTGCTGCTAATGCATGACTAAATGTTCTTGTAGTATTAAAATACATTTGTATACAGTTAAAAGCTACAGGACAAAAGGATTAAATATGACAGTGTTTAATCCTGATAAACAGGCAAATCACTGTATATCAGATATAAAGAATATATCTATATTATAAATGTAAGCCGATGATTTTGTCACCTCATGTCCAGTAAAATGGATCTGTGACCAGGAAACAAGTGCATCCCCCTAGACCTGGATCAATACACCAGTAGGCTAGTACTATGCAGAGTAAAAAAAATATCACATTCTCTACATTAGTAGTGAGCTGCTCAGCAGTACCTGAAGTAGTTAATGCTCATTCCCCACTCCTGCTTCCTGCACACATTAGTATTTCTTCGGATAAATCCTTTTGCCAAAGGATATGAGCCAACTCCTCTGGCCTCATAAGACTATTTTTCCATTGTTGTGATCAACTGACCCTTCTCTGTGTCAGTGGACTTAGCCCTTCTTGAACTTTGTTTGACTTAATGCTTCTTGAGCCTACTTTGCCCAGTATCCCAAGCAATGCTTTCACAAATAACATTACATCTCTCTGTTGCTAATGACCAAAATACTTTGCATGTCTTTCACTACGTCCTCATATTACATTTTTCTTGCCCATTCACTGATTGATGGCTTGGACCTGTGATCAACTGTTCCATTTGGATTAAGTTTTTAAATACAGCAAAAAAAAAAAAAATCATCATTAATCTCTAACCTTGCCTTTCTATTTAGTCCGTCACATCATCAAATCTTTTTAGTTCTATGCTGATCAATCTTCCCTTCTTTATCCATTTATGGTTTTTTATTTAAGATCAGTAATAAAATTATTTGCTTCAGTAGTACCAAAAAGAGAAAAATTATAGCAGAAAGTGTATTCACAAATAACTTTGAGCTATCTTGTTCCTTCAATATAGAGAAAAGTTTTACTTCCATCATAAAGGAAGGGATAATGTGGAATGGGTCGTGTGCAATCAATTACTCATTTAACACTTTCTGTAGAGAAAACCAGATCTAAGTCTAGAGCAAAAATTTTCATTGCAGCACTTTTTCAATGGAGGCACTGATTTCTGAACAGAACATTTAGCCTTGGCAGCAGATTGGTTTTCTTAACTATCTCTCATGAATTGTTAGGAATAATTTGTGGATTCTTCAAGGTTTACTGACTGTACACTGAAAATTACTCCCCTTGCAAATCACTTCCAAAGGGCACAATCATCCAATTGTCTGTGGAAAGGATTGACATAGAAGAATAAAAATCTGCAGAACAAGTACACTGTCAGAACAAGTCGGTAAAAGGCAAAAGAAACAGGACAAAGTCGGGCCACCAAACACGTAGGCATATAAAATAAAGAAAGGAACAAAAAAGGTAGGAGCACTTGTGCTGAGATAACACAACTATTCAAGAAGAAAAAGGCTGCATGATACAGCGGAGCTGGAGGATGCAGGCATGCACAGTGGAAGTTGCTCAGAAGTCCTTTTTTTTTTTTTTTTATGAGATTCCTGAATTAGCCCTTGCACTTATTCCTTGGTTTCTTAGTTTTGCATTAGGGTGTGGGCTCTGCCCTATCTGAAAGTTTAGATCCTTTTGCTACATGATTTAGGATGCTAATAAGAGAAGCTTCAATCTTAAATTAGCATGACGAAAATAAGAAATTCTTAACACTGAAAAGTCAAACAATGCTTCACTGAAAACAAACCAAACCAAAATTCTGTCTCCTACCGTACACCAAACATTAGGGACATGCACTTTCCATTGACCATGTCTAAGGAACAACCAACTGTACTGTTGGGGATTACTGATCAAGTTTCTTTCTCCAGCCCTGAGAAACTGTCTGGTTTACATCAGTTCTGAATCCTCTGGTGATGCTTGTCCTGCTATGTCTCATCAATAGCTCTGGGGTTGCAGGCACAGTGGCCCCAGAGCAAGTGATACCTGCAACAGGTTCAGGGAGACCAGCAGCTCCAGCAGAGAGGTCACTGCGGTGACTGCAGCACAGACTGCTTCAAATTATGCTTTACAGAACACTCTTAGTTTAAGTCTTTTCTGTAGTTATTTTTCATGAAAATGTGGCATCAATTTATGCGCCATGGTTATTCATAATGGGAACAATACAAGTAGCTGCATGGTTTTTCCATTTTTGTGGTTATAAGGAGCTGGCTGTGGTTATTTTAAATGGGCTTGTTACTTGAATTAATATAAGTAAATGTGTTATATTCAATAGGAACTGAGCAGTGTGCTGTTAGTAAGTAATATGGTTTATAAAGACTGAGCTATTCAGTGACCCTCCAAACATATGAATTGCTTCTACTCAATTCTTTAATGACCATGGCTTTTACAAAGAGAGAACAGAAGTGCGCAAGTCATTACCAGATTTATACAATAAGGAGGTATGACAAAATGAAAGCAGGTTTTGGATTTTCACATATTTAAACCTTTCTCTGTACGGGCCATGCTATCCTTGCATGACACTTTGTTCCTAAAGAGATTTATTCTCCACATGTATGAAACTTTAGATTTATCTTTTTCTTGTAACAGTAACAAAAAATGATAATATGTGCATGCCTTCATA